CCTAAACCCCTAAACCCTTAACACCAAAAAACCGAGGCGGAGCCTTGTCAGGGTAACCCGGAATCTCCTGGGACTTTGGGAGACGAAGTTGTGCTCTCCTGGTGCGCTCGGGGGTTTGAGGCTTGCCTGTCAACTCAGTTGAATACGGGGAACTCTACGGATTGTAGGGTTTAGGGGTTGGGGGGGTTTAGGGATATAGGTGTGTCTGGGGCTAAATAGGGACAATATGTAGAGTTCTCATGGAGGATCAGATGGAAAAGAAGGTGGCATGTGAAATGGAATCAAATGAAACATGAAACGGAATTTGGGATTGAGTAGGGGTTATTATGTAGGTTTGTCATTGGGGATATTGTAGCCCCCAATATAGGGCAAGACATTATCTGCTTTTTGAGTAAGACTATTTTTCTTCTTGTGCCGGTGCTGCTTGCCCGGTGTTAATTAACATTTGATGCATGCTCTTGAAACCGAGGAAAGAGGAACACTTGAGACGCTTGGGTGTGCAAGATCTTGTCTCCCTGCTGAATATTGGAGTTGATCTCTATAATCAATATTTACCTTATGATCCCTATATAACCCCAATATATACCCTATAATCGCATATATAACCCCTATATATACCCTATAACCCTTATATAACCCCAATATATGGCCTGATATATATATCCTATGATCTGGATCTGCTGAACGCGTAGGGCGAGGGTAGGAGATGCCCAGCGTTGGTTAGCATGCTTCACAAAGCCGATTTCTCAAACTACTGGTGCAGTTACTTGGAGGGTCAGGGTTGGTTAATAATGGGGATAGCTAGGGTTACTACATGGGCTTTAGGGGTTGTTAACCCACTTACTAAGTCCCCCTGACCCTCCAAGTAGGGATTAGGGTTATCGGGGTCGCTATGGGTTCTGGAATACACAGGAGAGTTTGAGCAACTTGCCCATGGCTCTCTATCAGAAAACTGCACCCGAGGTTTCAGTGGTATTGGCAAGGTTCGACAAGGACTTTTTGGTAGAGTCGTGCCATGGCTGCATCACCTTTGACGAGGAAAAAATCGAAAGCAAATGACTGATATGACAGCAGCTTGACGTAAATCACAGGTTTCGGAGGCCATCCCGAGACAATTCTTGCCTGCCTGACAGGCCATGAGACGTTCCCAATTAGAAGCAACAAAGCACGGATGAACAACTTAGAACCTAAACCCTGAGCCCTTAACCCTAAACCCTAAACCCTAAACCCATAATCAGACAATATTCCGAGCCTCCAGAAATGCCTGCAGCCCAAAGCTGTCATAAAAATGATAATGATACTAGTAGGAAAAATGGAAATGCTACTGCAAAAATTAGTAGGGTTTAGGGTTTCGGGTTTAAAATGGAAATACTGATAAGAAAAGTAGTAATACTGGAATGGAAGGACTAATAAGATTTGTCAGGAAAGGGTGCCAGTTTAAACTTGGTTGCCAAAACGTCTTTTCCCGAATGCGCAGCAGAAGGGTTCTCGTTTTGAGGTTGGGGGTCTGGGGGTTGGGAGTTGACGCGAAATCTGTGCGGAGCGTTCGCAAGCGTCCGCAAGCGTCCGCCGTGTGTTCGCAAGCGTCCGCGGCCGAAAATCGTCGCGAAATGCAGAGCTGTCGTCGCTTTTGGACTCGCCTTTGGTCCTCGCGTCTTAAAAGTGTCAAATTCTCAGGGATCGGGGGGGTCGTGGTCGCGAAGCGCAAAGCAGTCGTCACTTTTGGACTTGCGTTGCGTCTTCGCGTCTCAAAAGTGTCAACAGTCACAGGGATCGGGGGGGTCGTGATCGCGAAACGCAGAACTGTCGTCACTTTTGGACTTGTCTTCTGTCTTCGCATCTCAAAAGTGCCAACAGTCACAGGGATGGGGGGGGGGGTCGTGGTCGCGAAACGCAGAACTGTAATCACTTTTGGACTTGTCCGGTCTTCGCGTCTCGAAAGTCGTCAACAGTCACGGGGATCGGGGGGGGTCGTGGTCGCGAAACGCAGAACTGTAGTCACTTTTTTGGAGTCGTCTGCGCTTTTGGCCTGGCCTCTGGAGAGAGGAGAGGAGAGAGGAAAGAAGAGAAGAGAGAAGAGGGAGGAGAGGAGAGAGAAGAGAAGAGATAGGAGAGCAGAGAAGAAAGAGAAAAGAGCAGGGAAGAGAGAGAGGCGAGGAAAGAGGCAAGAGGAGAGAGGAGAGGTGAGAGGAGAGGAGGGAGGAAAGGGGAAAGGAGATACGAGAGGGGAGAGGAAAGAGTAGAGAGGAGAGGAGAGAGGAGAGAAGAGGAGAGGAGAGAAGAGACAAGAGAAGAGAAGAGAAGAGAGAGGAGAAGAGAGAGGAGAAGAGAGAGGAGAAGTCAGAAGAAGAGAGAAGAGAGAGGAGAAGAGAGAGAGAGAGAGCCATTTTGGCTCAAGTCTCCTGCCTGTCCTTTCTCTTTCGGGAGGAGGACACCCTGGCATCGGCCCATCTTGCCCTTGGGGGGTAGTCCCTGGGGGCAAGTGGGTGGACGAGTGTCGGGGGGAGGAGGCTTGAGGCCTTACGCGTGGCCATTTCAGATCAAACCGGGAGGACCGAGAAGCCCCCTTGTGGCAGCTAAGAGTTAGGGGAGTT